GTAAAATTATGGTTGTCAAAGAATTTCTCCATGAAAGATATGGAAGAAGCAGCGTATATCTTGGGAATCAAGATCTATAGAGATAGATCTAAAAGATTACTAGGCTTATCCCAATCTTCGTACATAGATAAAATCTTGAGAAGATTTAATATGGAAGAGTCTAAAAGAGGTTTATGTCCCATGTCGCATGGGATTTACCTCTCAAAAGATATGTGTCTTAAAACACATGATGAAAGGAGTCACATGGATAAGATTCCTTATGCTTCGGCGATAGGATCTATCATGTATGCGATGCTATGTACGAGACCAGATGTTTCATATGCTCTAAGTGTTACGAGCAAGTTTCAAGGAAACCCTGGTGAGAAACACTGGATAGCAGTTAAGAACATTCTTAAGTATTTGAGAAGGACTAAAGATGTGTTCTTGATCTATGGAGGAAATGAACTAAAAATTCATGGGTATACTGATGCCAGCTTTCAAACTGACAAAGATGATAGCAAGTCTCAATTAGGATATATGTTTACTCTCAACAATGGAGCGGTTACTTGGAAAAGTTCCAAACAGGAGACAACCTCTAATTCAACAACAGAAGCCGAGTACATTGCTGCTTCTGAAGCAACGAAGGGAACTGTCTAGATTAAGAAGTTCATTAATCAACTTGGAGTCGTTCCTAGTATTGTTGATCCCATACCTTTGTATAGTGATAACAATGGAGCCATCGCACAAGCAAAGGAACCGAGGTCTCATCAACGATCCAAACATGTGCTAAGGCGATATCATCTCATCAAGGAGATTATACAAACAAATGACATAACGATAGAGCGAGTTCCGACAGAAGACGATATTGTAGATCCACTGACAAAGCCATTGTCACAACAAAAACATGATCATTATGTGGACGCTTATGGTATTAGATACATGAATGATTGGATCTAGTGCAAGTGAGAGTTTGTAAGTGTTATGCCCTAGATCTAATCTATGTAGGTTGTAAACACTTTTAATATGTTTAATGCATTTAATTTTGGCGAGATCTATTATTTATTTAAATTAATTTTGTGATAAATAATAGAATCCGAAGATCCAAGTTTAAGTGATTTGTTAATCACAAAGAGTTGTGATTGTGAGATACAAATTACATATAATTGGATTTTGAATAAACCGTGGTCGTAAGTAATAACGAGATACGGATATCGTTAATACAGTTAGACCATCACGTGTGGCATTTCTTACTTGTGAAGTAAGTAGCTGATCTCACGAGTTAAAGTGTGGTGACAATTAAATGAACACGTGGATGTTTTGTCATAGAACAAAACATTGGAGACCCGCTGAGAGATTCCACATGGATAACTATCTGAGTGCCAGTGGTTAATCTCTAACGTTCGATAGTGGAATTGGTCCTATAACTTGAGGTCATCATAGTGCTTTGTATGAGGGCAGTCATACTTTGACGGTGTTGAATGTTGCTCTGCCAATGGCCGCTAATACGACATCGTTCGGGTATGTCAAGAACCATATGAAGGTTGTGAATGACCAATAGAGGATTCGTCACTCTTAGATAGTAAGAGATTATGATCTGCATTTCGTTCAATTAAGTCAATAACGAAATCCTTGGCCAAGGTATACATATAAGTCGAAAATGAGTTTTCGACTCATATTGACTTAATAGTAGAATGAAAGATATGATCGATAATCGAGATTGACACACTTCCATATCTCGTAGTTGATCGGATCATATTGACGAAGGGATTATAATTTCATGGTAAACGAACAGTTTTGGTTTTGTCATACCACGTGACATTTCCCATTACATGTGTTGCCCTGATACATTGTTAGATGTTAATCTGGGACGGCGAGTGTGAATTTGTGATAAATTAAAAGGGTGTTTAATTTATCAATTTTGATTAAATCAAAATAATATTTCACGTCGTTAGGCATCGTGGTCGGGAACCTAATGGATTGCACACAAAGGAGAATTGGAAGATTGTAAATTGCCAATTGATTAATTTAACAATCGTTGGATAAATTAATTAATTGAATTTGTTATTTATATTCTCGAATTAATTAATTGGATTAATTAATTCACGGACCGGTTTAATTAAATGGATTAATTAAACATTGGACCGGATCGGATCGAGCCCGTTTGGGTTTATATAAATACATGACTAGGGTTTGAGGTCCATAAGGTTTTCATTATTCTTGCTGGCACAAGAGGAAAAACCCTACCAGTTGCAGTCTATTCTCTGTGTGGATTTCATTGGAGGCTGAACAATTGGACAGTTGTGGGAGGCAGATTCAAGCTGTTGGAAAGGAATAACGCGAAGGAGTTTGCAAAATCAAGAACAGGTATATTTCTTATCACAGTTCTTATCTAAATACAAAGTTGAATCCTGAATGGGAATTGAAATTTGTTTAATTCCGCTGTGCATGTTTAAATAAATTCCCAACAATTTTTATATACATTTAATTAAGTAAATAAAAAATATACTTAAAATGTATGTATATAAAACACAAATATGCGGTGTAACAAAAGATTTGTGTGGTGGCAATATATTCATCCATAGTTAAAACAATCAAGGAAGAGGTTCGAATAGGTTTTCATCAATTTCAAATTTTATGCCGAAGGATATTCATTTCAAATTAATTTAAACCTTAATTCGGACTTAGGAGTGATTTCAAACCAGAAGTATTGCATAGAATTTGATTGGATAAGCATGCTGATTGTTCTTAATTGATTTTAAGAGAATTTTAAAAAGTTAATGTTATTTGACCAGTTAGTCAAGCCGAATAAAACATTCGTTAAACCTAAACTAATTAAGATTAGAAACGACGAATTTAACATGGTAAACTCAGTCTTACAGACTAGAAATAAAAATCACAGCATCTCTTTGAAAATTGATTAGGAGAAACTCAGAAGAAACAAGAATAAATATTCGAGTTATATTAATCATAATATATATGTTTGGCTGAGATCAAAAAGTTTACTTGTAAGTATGTATTTTTGTTAAAATTATTTTCGCTTAATTTGGTTATACTTGCAAATATGTAATTTCAATGTCTGGATAATGAAATAAAACGTTATTTCAAGGAGAGCATATTTTTATTTAAAAATATGTTAAAGAAAAGTTTAGAGATAAAAGTAAACTTAACTTCATAATGAGAAAATTCAGAACTGATCCAGTTTCTGGCATTCAGAGATATTGACATCAAATAAGCTATTGTATTATTTGACTCCAATAGTTCCTAATATTATATTATTTGTAATGGTATTATTCAAGTATTAAATATTCAATTTGGATTCTGGGAACCCTACAAATTGGACTATGTTGATAGAAAAAAGCTAAGATGCATCCTGAGAAATAATAATTTTTTTCTTATTCATGGCCTTTGAATGAAAGGCAATAGAATGCATAGATTTTGCAAATGGAATGGATAGTCAATAATGGCGTACTATGTTATAGATAACGCCAATATGCAATAACATGATGATAGAACTTAAACCACTTGTTATGAATATTAAAGACAAGAAATATGGGCCCCAGGGCACATTTTCAAGTGGTAAAAGGGGAGAGTGGAGAAATCCAATTTTGCTTGAGGTTGTTGCGTCAAGGGTTCGAATCCTGAAATATGGATTTGGCTCTTGGGTAAGTGCAAGTGTACAAGCAGCCTTTCACCCTTTACCCTTGGAGGCATAACCTGCGATTTACCTCCCTCACGATACTCCAGGACAGGGGTGGTGGGGGACCCTTAAAGTTAGGGTTTAACCTTTTAAAGACAAGAAATATGGACAACATAAAAATAATGAATCACATAAGATTTATGCACAAACCCAAATTCGGGAATACCACGAGCAGAGAGATGAAAAATTTACTATAATCAATAGCAATGAAATACAAAAGGAGGTCCATGTGACAAATTAAAATTTTCTCAAATAAACATAAAAAAAAAAAATGAAACAGCTTCATGATGGGCTCTAAAGAAATTCTAGACATGGCTAAAAGTTCTCATGTTCAAATATATTCACATCAATTAGGCCGGCTGTGGGGTATTGTATTTAAATCTAAACTAGTAGATATAAATGTAGAAGCTGTACAATTTTGATGATTAAAGCTCCAACGAGACAGTCCACTAAAAATATTTTCTTATTCATAGCAGACTTGGGAAAATAGCAAAAGAATAAATTGATTATAAACAGAAAATGTATCGTCAATAATGGCGTGCTAAAATATTAAATTTTAAACTGTAGTTTAGCTATAATATTAAAATGATGTTATCCACAACACCACCGCTATATGTACCATGTTCAGCTTCTGTATTCTGCACAGCTCTACACTTCTTTTCTGTTGTAATTCACTCCAAGTTTTCAACGAGTCTTCATAGGTTATACTATTCAAGGTAAATATGGGTATCTCCAACTATTTCCATGAACTCAAAACTAATGTTTCTCCCAAGAGGCTGTTCAAGGCTTTGATCACCGATAACCACGATGTTTTGCCGAAAGTCTCCCCATCCATCAAGAGCATTGAGACAATTGAAGGAGATGGTGGTGCTGGAAGTGTCAAAAAGACAAACTTTTCTGAATCTGAAGGTTAGTCCAAATATTAAAATCGCGAAAAAAGAATGAGAACGTAATATTTTGTACATATGCAGTACTATTGATTATAGCAATAGAATAAATTGATTTCCAGATTTATTAGAAAGAACTGTACTCAACAAAATTGAACAGAGCACGTACCTTTGTGATTTTGGAAGTTTAGAACATGCAGCAAAATGATTAGAACGTTGGATACAAAGTAATGAAGATGTCAGGCTCTTCAGACCATATTATTATTATTTTGAAACCTCAGACCACATTATTATACTATCAAATGCTCGATTAGGAATGAAAAAAATTTGCACCCTGCGCTGCCTGCATAGTCCTGCAGTAGAAAATTCGCGCCCCAAATGGTAAACGGGACAAAAAATAGGAAACATGGTCCCCATCCCAAAAACTTTTTATGAAATTGTTTCAACCATCGCATTTCAATTTATAATGTTACAAAGTCTCCTTGCTTTCTCATTCTCCTTTTAATATCCGAAATATAGAATAAAATAGGCACAAAATATAAGAGTCTATATTCGACTAAAAAATTTCAGTTTCTGCAAAGGGATGTGAAATTTAATACTGACATAGTAACAACTTCTAAAAAAAAGGAAAATATTGAAATAATTCTACTCAAAAGCCCATTGGTTCTCTCTTCGGATCTCCTCTTCTTCTTCCGGAGTGAAGTCATTTATTATGTTGAATAACTTGCGGATCTCCTCTGGCGTTTTTCCCTTAATCATGTCTGCAACAGTTTGGCAAGTAAGATCCAGAAGACTCTTGATATTCAGATAGTTTGCAGCCTGAAAAATCAGATGGTGAAAAGGATTAGTTAATGCCATGAGAAGCAGTAATTCGGATTTGGTGTAATAGAATTCAACGATAGTACATAACACGCAATTCATAACCAAATCTATGCAATTCTGTAAAATTATCACAAACAGCAATATCAATAGCCACAGTTATAATAGGCTTAACTATTGATATGATGAAACCAATTTCAATTTAACAAAACCCTAACGCACAATTCATAACAGAATCCATTTATAAACCCTAAAAGACCACTTATAAAAACATCTACACATAATTCTGCGAAATTAGTACAAAACAGCACTAGCAATGGCAACAACAACAATGATAAAAGCAATTCTCGACATGATCAAACCAATTTCAGCCTAGTAAAGCCCTGACGCACAATTCACAACGGAATCCACCATAATCCTACAAACGCAGAATCAACAAGGGAAAAATCAAAGAGTATACCATAATAAGGTCGAAGAGTATGGCCTGATCGACTTTGACAAATTCGGAGTCGAAAGCCTTGAGGTCGTTCTCTGCGACCACGTCGTTGGCATTGGCGGCAGCGGCTTCAGCATGCTTCTTACAGTATACAATGATCATGGACAGGATCTTTCCGGTAACATTGGGAACTGGGATGGCGCTATCGGCGCAGTCGTCCTCGATCATATGTCTGATGGTCAGAGACTCCAGCGCCACCAACTCCTCCACCTCGAAAACCTCGCCGTCAGAGCTTTTCAGCGTAATCTTCTTACCCTCGTTCGACATCGTTTCGCTTTGAGTTGTTGACGTGTTTGGTAAGGCTTATTAGACGCAAAACGAAAGCGATAAACAGAGATGAGTTGAGATTTGCAGGGTGCGGCGCAATATTTATAGAGAGAGAGGAGAATATGGAAAAAGGAAAATATTGAAAGCAACGGCTGGGATTTATCGTGGAAAGTTGGAAACAATTTGGAAATTTTGGATGCGGCGGTTTGGATCCATAGTCAGTGACTATAATTAATTATTCGTTACTCTAAAAAATTATTTTTACTTGAAAATAAAAAAAAAAAAAAAAAAAATAGAGACAGAGAACATAGGCATAAAACTACTTTTTTTTTTCACACTCGACCAGATAAAACATGTCCGAAGTTTTGTTCGTTATTCATAATCTCATAAGCATCTACGTTATATGCCAGAGGGTTACTTCAAACACATGAAGACCAGAGTTGACTTTCTAGACAAAGAAAACTACGTGGGCAAGTTCACTTTGGTTGAGGGAGACGCACTTGGTCACGAGCTTGAAAAGGTATGTTATGAGATGAAATTTGAGGACACAAAAGGATGGAGGATGTGTTCTCAAGATCTCCAGTGAGTATCATTCCAAGGGTGATGTTATACTTAAAGAAGAGGATATTAAAGCAACCTTGGAACATACCATGGGACTCTACAAGTCTTGTGCGGATTACCTGATTGCCAATCCTCATATTTGTGTCTAAATAATTTCCAATTATGTTTCTTATTTTCTATATTTCCTTAATAAAGAACTTTGTTCTACTCTTCCATTGAAGTTTGTTCTTATCCAACTGTCATCAAAATTTACGGTACAACATTAAGATGCAATTTTAGCAAAGTTCCAGTCTTTGCCTTAATAAAACAGATTTGTTTGTTTATTTTCATCCCCGTCTATTTATTCCTCTTTCGTGTCGAATTTTCAATGAATATGACCTAGCTATTTATATCGTTTCATTGCACATAAATTTCAGTTGCAAAGAAATTTTATCTAGATATGGACTACTTAAAACTAAGATCCTTTAATTACTTATTCAAGAAATGAGGCTTTGTTTGATTCCCATTTTTTTTTAAAATACATTTTTCTCTCTTCTTTTCAATCACATATTATTCATTAAAATGATATTACACGTAAATAAAAAAAAATTTCTTATTTTTCAACCACACATTTTACATCAATCTACTATTCTAAAATACATTTTTTCATAAAAATGGGACTCAAACACCCTCTGAATAAGGTCAGAAAAAGCTGTGGAATACTTACACCTAACTTTTGTACGTTGGATTTTTTTGCATAATTTATTGAAGTTACTTTTATTATTAACAGGTCATTATATTCCAGAAAGTTAAACATATAATGCTTTTTTATTTTTATTTTTAAGATTAGAATAATAAGTATATTGATGTTATGTCAGACAAAAGTTCAAAATCAAGAGTGAACCCCTTGAGTTGTCGATTCCACAGGGGAAAATTGTATACAATTTGAAAGGGTAACCATGGCAGAATTTATAACTAATTGCATAGAATTTGAAAGGATAACTACGCTGATTATTCTTAATCGATTATGGCAAATTTATAATTATTTATGGTAGCCAAACATAGGTTTAAGTATCTTTAGATAATGAATGATTATATGCTAACATTTGAGCCAAAATTTGCCAATTTTTCATTTTAGTATCAAACTTTCTTCGAATGTGCAATTTGATCCTCTTTCATTTCTTTTCAGTCCTTACCCTTTCGTTGAAAAAAGGAATCGAACCCGGGACTCGCAAGACGAAAATGCCACTTCTACCCAAGTTGGCTAGAAGCAGTGTCTAAATTAAAAGTGAATATCAGTAATATAACCTAAAAAATGTATGTTGTCAACAAAAAGAGGGTTGCCGACGGATCCAGCACGCATGGTCACGGGTGCTCGCTAGGTGCTGGATCCACCAATGATGACAATTGACTAGGAAAAATTGAAACGTGGAATATCACAGGATATCTCTGAAAATTGATTAGGAGAAACTCAAAAGAAACAAGTATAAATACTCGAGTTATGTTAAACATAATTGATATGTTTGGCTGAGATCAAAAAGTTTACTTGTAAGTATATATTTATCTTAAAATTATTTTCATTTAATTTGGTTATACTTGGAAATATGTAATTTCAATGTCTTTATAATGAAATAAAATGTTATTTTCAAAGAACCACTACCACCACCAACTTGCTTCTTCTTGTCTCCAACATTCCATCACACCACCGATTACTCCAAGATGACATCTTTTCGTCCCTCACTTGCTGTTTCATTACTCAAAGAGTGACCAACACCACCATTTCACTACTTTCAATCACCCCCAACAGATCCAGAGCCATAAACCTATATACATCACAATCACCCTCCATCCTCTACTCACCGCACGACTGTATTACAAAATGAGACTAGGGTAATTCCAGGAGCTAAAGACATTTAACACGAAGGAAAGGACACAAGCATAACTGGGGCCCATGTGTCAGCAATTCGGGCAACTAAACAATGGGAAGTCAATGCTCTCTATTTATTGTTAGTTTATAATACTGCTTTATTTTAAAATTGCATCATTTTAAATTCTTTGTGTTGCTATTATCTTGATAATTTTAGCCTTAAACCCCACTTGATCGGAATTATTAAACGAATTTACTTTCCATTATTCCCCACTTATTAACGTGATTAAGATTTTGACTAGTTTTTTACCCTTTGCTAATTTATATGTATCAACAGTATCAGTTTGCAATATTTGGATTTTCTTAAACCCTCAAAAGAATAAACATAAAAAAATAAAAGAAATGCTCAAGTTATTATTTTCATTGCTAGTACATGTGGTTCATTGATTTCTTCATTGCACCTCATTTAGCTCATAATACAATGCATGCGATTACGTAGTGATGGTCTTATCACTTCTAGTTTTAGTATCTTATCCATGGAACCCTCACGATTTGATCTACTCACACGGTAAATAGCAACCATTAAAGCCCAGATGACTGGTACTCTTGAAGAGAGTAGGGATTTATCTGCTAGTTTGAACAATTTCAAGCAAATCTCTCATTCGATTGATGCTGATAATTTTGAAGTTTCTTATAATAGACATTATAGTAATCAACAAGGTAATCTAAAATAGTTTCGATACAATCATATTGATAGGATCAGGATTATAAGCAGGAACGTGGTTGTAACCGTCACGGTACTCATTCTCGTCCTTGCCATGAGAAATGTCTCTCTAGAAACATCAAATCATATGCTTTTACCTTTGATGATTGTTCACATCCTGGAGTTTTTACTCAATGTAATACCCTTACATAGGGGAATCGTTAGTAACTGAGTATACCGCTCAATTTGAAGAACTTCGAATGAAATGCCAAGTCAATGAGTATGAGACCCTTGCTTTGAGTAGATGTAGCTAAGGACTACAAGATGATCTTAGACGTGAACTCTTCTTTCAGGGTGTCACCACTCTTGATCATGCTTATTCTATAGCTCGAGATTATGAGTTAATTATTGACACTCCCTATGAAAAGCGTAGTGACAACCGTGCATCCATCTCATCAGCATCGCTTCCTTTGAAGTCTATCAGAAGACCTTCTCTGTCTAATGTTCCTTATGTGTTGGAAAATAAGAGTAAAATTCTTAATATTTCAAGGACTTCTTCTAAGTTGCAGTACTTCAACCGTAAGGACTTTAGCTACATCTCTTCCACATCTCCTAGGCGAGCTTTAATCATTGAAGAACGAAATAATTTCATAAACGAGCCATTAGAAGATCTAGTAGATGAACCTAAACTTGATGATTTTGATGACTTGGATAATAGTGAGGACACATCCTTAGGTAATATTCGGACTCTTCCTAATAATCTAGATACCATACCATTTGTTCTTGAAACCTATTGATTTCGTGTTGCATGTTGTATTCGTACCCAAACTAAAGAGGCAAATGATTTCACTAGTCGCTCTTCGAGAACCTGTCACCTATGGGTATTACTACCTGGAAATTCTCCACTGTTGACCACCCTCAAACTGATGGTCAAAGTGAAGTGGCTAACCTGAGTCTTAACAATTTCTTAAAGTGTCTAGTCCAGGGAAATCTTGGAAATTGGGATTCGATTTTCCAAACAACTCAAATTACATATCACAATACTATAAATCAATCTCTAGATCTAAGTCCTTTTGAACTTATTCATGGTTATAAGCCTAGGAGGCCTTTAGACTTTATTATCATGTCACCACATGCTAGTATGTCGATGTCAACTCAAGTATTTGTACATCATTATCATGACTTGCATATTGATATCAATAATCAACTTGAGACAAGTAATGCTTCATATAAACTTCGAGTTCATTTGCATAAATGACATGATGAATATAATATTGGGAATTATGTTATGTTGTAAGGTTGTAGTACTTGTTCTTTTAAAATTTTAAAGCATGTTGGTCAAAATGCATATGTCATTGATCATTTCTCACATTTTGGCTACAACCATACTTTAAATTTTGAAGACTTAGTTACTTACGACGGTCATTTTAATTATTTTGATGATCCTTTTTTACTTTCATATGTGGACCCCCAACCTATATATACTACCATTCCTGCTCCAATAACACTCATCATAGCACAAAAGATAAAATTGACGCTCTTTTAGATGAATGGGTTGTGTTAACAATTGATAGAGAAAATCGGTACTCCCTTGTTTGTTGGTTAGATCGACATGCTTATTGTGTTCTGCATTATGCACAACCATGTGACGATTTTGGAAATGAGCTGAATGAGTATGTACAAGTTGCACTTCAATGTCGATTTTCTGTTCATCAAAAAGATAGTCCCTATGGCATGACTTGGAGCATTTTGTGTATCAGATTGATAGTAGTATTTTGTGATTTACTCACTTGACAGTGTTGAGTTTTCTCCCATCCTAGAAGAGTTAACGAGGACATCCCCTATTTATTTATTTCTATTTGGACCTATATTTATGTTTGGACTCTTATTTATATTTATGTTATTGTACTTGTACAATGCGTTTGGCCCAAGCCCACCCTTTTTAAGATTTAGTTTTACTATTTATATTAGTTCATTGTGTAATTTAGACAGTTGATGATTGAATAAAATATTGGTGGCTTGTAGTAAAATTCCTCTCTTCCTCCATTATTCTTTTTCTTTCTCTACTGTTTTCTTCTTTTGTCATCTTTACCCCTGATTTTTCTTCCATGTTGAATTGTTTCTCATATTCCATTGGGTGTTTTGTTTATGCTGATGACATCTCCATTTTATTTATTTCTATTTGGACTCTTATTTATATTTATGTCATTGGACTTGTACAATGGGGTTTTGTCCAAACCTACCCTCTTTAGGGTTTGGTTTACTGTTTATATGAGATTCGTACTTGTGATTCAGATAATGATTGAATAAAATATTGGTGGCTTGTGATGAAATTCCTCTCTTCCTTCATTATCCTTTTCCTTCATTTATCTCTACCCTTGATTTCTTCTTCTTGCTAATTGGTTTTCTCATATTCTATTAGGTGTTTTTATTGGCCCTGCATCACCACCCATATTGGTTTTATCATTTTCCTTGGCTTGACCTCCAATAAGCTGGATGTGAAGACAATGGTTGGAATTCATGTAGAGATCTTCTCAAACTTCCTTCGAGCTTCTTCCTCTTCAAGGAACATGGCATTAGCTCTTCCTCCTCCCATCAAG